AACTGCGCAACCCTCGCCGAGCTTTTCGAGGGCCCCGAAGGTTGCCACAGATACCCCAGCATCGGTTGTGTCTCGTTTTCCTCAGTGGGCATGGGCTGCCCCGCCGTCGTTGTTTACATGGAAGCCGAACATCTATGACACCCAGAGTCCTCCCACACGATGGACCAGTAGTGATGATGACTGGAGGAACTGTCGACGGTTCCTTCAGGGCCTACGTTGGAGGTTGAATTCCAACTCATGTACTGCGACGACAGAGCTCGCTTGCCTTTTCTGGTGGCGTGGTTACAAGCACTCTCAACTCGAAGCTGGTGTGAGCTTTTATCACCACTTGATTTTGGTTGTTCGCTCAATGTTGAAGCTTGCCTCAAGCATCGAACATGGACATGTTTTTCCAGGAGAACTTGTTCCTACGGGCACCAAATATGCTGGGCGAGCCCTTCCCAAGGGTATCATACAAGGTGCTGAACTTTTCATGACGGATGATGAACGCTTGAAGTTGGTGCATCTTTTCGATCAAGGTGCTGCTCGTCCCCTTTCGTCGTGGGACGTTCCGCTGCCGGTGGTGCTTAATTAGTTTGTGCATTCCTTTAGATCTTTCTCACCGCTATGCTCCAGAGTGGGCGTAGTTACGACGCGTGGACCGTTCGAGATGGTGTGCCAGGAGCCCCTAGTAGCGTCCTTGCTCCTAGTAGTATGGCCAGGAGCCCCTAGTATCTTCTTGTTCCTAGTAGCGATGCCAGGAGCCCCTAGTAGCGTCCTTGCTCCTAGTAGTAAGGCCAGGAGCCCCTAGTATCTTCTTGTTCCTAGTAGCGATGCCAGGAGCCCCTAGTAGCGTCCTTGCTCCTAGTAGTCAGGCCAGGAGCCCCTAGTAAGTCAGCCAAATTTCTGACTTTCACCGCTCTTTACTAAATGGTTGTCGCAGGTTTTGGCGGTTGCTTGCATAGGCATGGGGTAATCGACGCATCAGCCTAGGCCCATACCTCTGCAGTGTTTGCTGCTTGATCGCCTTTGCATGTGCATTCAAAAGAGCACCAAGCAAACAGGGGCTCCTACAAGTACCGTGTGAAGAACAAAAACTTGCAGCAACAGTCAACGCTGCTCTACTCACTACATATATATATATATAACAAAACATGGTGGTTTCACGCTCAGAAGTCACCTCTGCTAAAAAGGCGCCCCCCACCTGCCTATTGGCGTGGAAGGCTCTGTTTGCCACCTGCAAAAGCTCATGCTTTTGTTGTGAACTGCGGGAAGACTGATGTTGCCGCTCATGTTCGGAAACTGCTCTCTGGCCTGACATAGGCCTTGGGGTCGAAGTCTGCAAGGGTCATGCAGGTCCTCAGCGGCTGCATGTTATGTATATAATATTATATATATATGGTTGCCACTTGCACTCCGATTGCGCTTTGCAGGCTTGGAAATGGACATCCCGGGCCCGACAAACATTGAAAGTAACCTTGGAACGTGTTCGAAATAAGTAAAAAGACATAAGAACTGATAATAAAAAAGTAACATAGATGTCTTAGAATCCGATCTCACCAGGTACAATCGACAAGCCTTTCAATGGTCGCTCCAAACTGCTTTTAGGACAGGACTCCTTGGCATTCACCTCCATACCTCAAAGATTCATCTAAAAGCACTCCTCTGAAGCCTTTTTTGTATAAAACATAAAAGTGCATCGCTACTAGTAACAAGTGAATTACCACTAGTAACAAGAAGTAGCGTTGGTACATCAAAGTTGTATGAAAGAGGTCTTATGTTTTTCCTCGCATGGCTGAACATTGCTGAGAGAATCACCAAGATCATTTAGGCAGGTTTGCAAGTCTTCTACTGTGGCTCTTCCTGCACCCAAGTTTAATCAATACATATATATAGTGAAACACTGATACACTGATAAAAGTGAAGCAATGTGAGACATTGTTCCGTGTCTATCAATATCGTTTCCACTTCACTGCAACGAAACTCTTGCCTGTCCCACTCTGGTCGAGACCTTGTTGCCAAGCAAGTAGCAAGTCGTCACCATACCTGGAAAATTTCTCAACAAAATGAACTTGAGGCGCACGCTCTTGAAACGGATATCCGGTATATCCGAGTATCAGCTTCTGTGGCTCACTTTCTCCTCAACTGTTCTTTGAATGTGCTCACAGTCCTCCAAACCTTGGAGCACTAAAATGCATAGTCCTCTAATTTGAAACATGAATCTTCAATGATCACCTCATTGGCGAAGGCCGGCTGCCAACCATAATGTTGGTACAGCACATGTTATCTTTCCACTGGATGCGAAGTAACATGCGGCAGGAAATCTTGAGGATCCGGCATGGGGGTCAATGTCCTGTATCGGAATGCGTCTAGTTTGTCAAAGTTGCTGCACTCCACGCGTTCGGCAGTTTTTTGGACGTGTATTTCCCGACATGGTTGCATCTCCTTTGCGCGTGCAAGCACAAACCAACATCCCAAGCTTTGGGCTGCTCCAGGCAGAGCAATGCAAAACTATCACAGGGTATGTCCTCCAAGGTTACAAAAGTTTTGCCTTGGCACAGCTCGTCCCAAAGCCTGGCATGGCAGCAGTGTAGCGTGGTGCGTAGTGTCATTGCAGGTACTAAAGTGGGCCATAAGCCATGAGCCTTGAAAACTGTTTTCCATCCAGGCCTTTTCATGTTTCCATGAAAGCCAGATTTCCGCGCTGCTTTGCAAAACCTCAGCTTGGCAAGGGTCTCTTCAGAGCAAGGCATGCACAGGACCCGATCCAGGCAACGAGCGGGTGGAATGACAGGCGTCCTTTTTTGCTGTCATCCAGCCATCTCCAACCAGCCTGTGGCCAATGTGAGAAGAAAATAGAAGAAATGGTGTCTCGTGCTTTATCTGATCCCTCTTATTACGTCTGCCCTAGCTTACAAGAGACGCCAAAACCCAGAACCAATACATCAAGCTCAGAGCTCCAACCTTAAAAAGAGCGTAAGGTTTCCTCTAGCCAAAGACCGATGATTAGCATCGCCGAAAACTGGCATATTTGTGAACACAGCTGGCCACTGAAAAGAACATTGAAAAAAGCGCTGGTCCTGATCCAATCAGTCCAACAACAATCACTTCTCATGTTCATTCCTTGAAGCAGTGCTACCAACTGCTTGAAATGATTCATTAATCTATTCGATTGAAGGTAGTTCAGAAAAAAGAAACGCGTCCCCTGCTAGAGCTGCTAGAGAGGCGCTGCATCTTTTAGCAGGAGACAACCCTGCAAGCACCACTGATCACCGTTCTGCGGAAAATGAGAAAACCTCATGAGTCTCATGTTCCGTCAAATTTTTGGGTAGAATGCCCCATCCAAGCACTGCAGATCCACACAAACGCCGTGGAGATGTTAACAAAGAAGGAGGACTTCGTATGTATAGATCTGCAATGTACTTGCCAATACATCCATACTAATCGTAATATGATGTATCAATAAATGTGATATGATCTTACTCTATATGTATGTATATATATAGGTAATTACAGTACATGGTAACAGACAGATTGTTCGTCATATTGTTCAAACGCACTCAGATCAAAATCTAGCCAAGGGACAAGAACCGATCCAAAGCGTGTTCTCAAATGAGCTGCAAAGCCCAAAGCACCCTCAGGAACCAGCCGATGGAAATTCTCCAGTTGCATAGGCACCGAAAAACCATCCAATCGGATGCGAGAGAACTCAATTTGAAGGGTTCTTGATCAATCTGAATGCAAATTCAACAGATGTTTGAGCATGGAAATGTGGCAGACTTGCAGGTCTACCTGAGAGCCGTAGAAGCTGAGGTCCTCGAAAGAGCGGGTGTCTCGAATCAGTGCCTGCCAATCGATCTGACAGGGGTCGCTTGAGCAGGTAAAACGAAAATCAAAGCATGAAACCGCTTTAACAGATCGATGCACCTGCCGCTTTTGGGCCAGACTTCGGCCTGGGATTGGAACCCGAAAGCGATTCAATGACAAGGTCCCTGTTGCACAACATCAAGGCCCTGGCGAGCCGCGATGCTAGGGTGACCAAATTGTCTTGGCAGAAAGGATCCTTTTGGGAGCGACCTGCATGGAACTTCACAAGACAAGCTTTTCATATCCTCACTGCACATCACTTGGGAAGACTTGGTGTCCTTGACGGGTCACACTGCAACGCAGGCTCGCTTGCTGACTGCATCAGGTCTCAGAGTGTCTGAACTTTGAGGCAATTGAGATCATATTTGGGTAGGAAGGACCGGACGCTACTAGGTGGAGCCTGTCGCTATTAGGTTGGAGGCCATCGCTACTAGGAACAATGACGCTACTAGTTAGCTACTAGGGGCTCCTCGCCTTATTACTAGGAACAAGGACGCTACTAGTAGCCATGGGTTGGTGCTGCTTTCCATTCGAGATTGCCACTTTTGGATGGAGCAGAGGGGCTCACAGGGGGCCTCATATGCAGCTCAATAGCTTCAATTCTTTGCAATTGTCACGTAGATTAACCTGTTATGCCACAAGGCAAACCAAAACATCTTGGCAGCCCAACAGGTGACCAGGTTGACCTGCTGCATTCTCCTCAGAAAGTGTGTTGGTCCTGTGAATTCTCAGATCAAACATCTGTACTGGAAGCTCAAAATCTCAAAAACCAGGTTCCCTGCATCAAGGCTGTGCATGTCAGAATGAGATTGACAAATCTTGTTGTGTGAGCGTCTGAAAGTCTTACATATCTCTGTGAGCTTGGATTTGTTGAAGTTGAACAATTTGTTGGATTACTCTTGCATAGCTTGGGCATGCTTGGGCTAGATCCAACAAATGGATTCGCCCCCTGCATGCTGGATTCTTGAAGGGTGAGACAGAAACTTGCAGCCAAATCACAAGGACGAGAGCTTTGTCCCAACATATCCCAACGACAAAAGCAAGAAGGGCTGGCATTGAGCTGCAATGAAAATGTCCAGAAATGCAACTTGTCGACGCGTGGAGCGCAGTGGAGCGCTTATTCATCAGAAATACACAATCGCGGAAGAACCATCTCAGACAATTCCGGAGAAATAGAGCTCTGCACCCTGCAACTGAAAAGAAATTAGACACTGTCAACAATGTCTGTATTTGACCGTTTTGTGTTATATTGTTGTTTGATGTCGTTTAAGTGCAGAACGCGCCTCCACAGCCAAGCATCCTAAGAGCAACGTCAACAGCACCAAGCTGCCCAGGGCCATCAGGACTGGGTACTCCAGGTGGCTCTGAAACCTGTCAAGTCAACCAGTCGGCTTCATTGAAGATGATTAGTTGAAATCTCGGTGATAAAGCCGAAGCCAAGTCAGCTTCCGACCAGGCATGGTCCACCAAACCAGGAGAAGGAATGGAGAGCCATACATCCTTCACCAGTACTTCCCAAGTGCATCGAATGTCTCTCATTGGTATCTGTTGTGAATGACTCTGAATATGAGGAAGGTCTTGTAGGTACAACTTCTGCTCGAAATCAAGCTGGGATATCCGGGGATCTTGGTATTAATTATTATATCCAATTCTTTCATAGCTTTGGGTCATTTTGTGTCAATCGAACGTGAAAGCAATGTTTCACTGAGAATTTGGTATGGGTGTTGCGCTCGGAGCTCAGTACATGACAAAAGAAAAGCAGTCCTCACCCCGCTCATCTCTGGAGCTGTAGTAGCATGTTGCCTCAAAAGCTTGCAACAAGATCTCCTGGCAAATCTCCCACAGCGCCCCACCGGATTCGTCCCACACAGCGAGTCCCACCTGGTCTGCGCGCTCGAGATGGTTTTGAATACGCGACAGGACCTTGTGTCTTGACAGGCCATGCTGAGCTATCTGAATCTTAGCAGCTTGTGTTTGCAGGATCACATCTTACTTGAAGCAATACCAAAGGGCTGGCTTTCTCTGCACTGTGGGCTTGACATCAGCTGTCGTGCATGGCACTGGGCCACCAGGTGGCTGATCTGACCGCTGGGTTCTCAAGTCAAGTGCAAATTGGTCAAGAAACCTCAGTGTATGGAAAAGTTGAACGTCAGCATTCCGCAGGTCATTGGCACATGGGATCATCAATGTTGAAGCCTGATCACCTGAGATCTCCGTGAAAAGAGCCGAGCTCGCAACCCAAGTTGTGGGAGGCAAGGATCCTGGACATCTATGACTTAATAAGCAGCTATGCTTAATGATCTTAATGCTTAAAGTCCAAAAGAAAATGGGTAAACTTCTGGATTCTTCGGGCACCCCATGGCCGTTCCATGGAATGCGGAACCCCGGAAGCATGGTCAATCCGACGCTGTGGTCCAAAGACAGGCGCATACTGGTTAGCCAGACGTACAGCTTTTCTTTCGCTTCATTAATCTTCATTACAAACAAATTACTTCACGGGCCTCCGACATGCGGTTCTTGCAATACCTCGCCACAGGAGCCACGAACACACAGTGCATCACAGCACGTATTGACAGTCAGGGCGGCAAGGTGTGCGCAAACAAGAAAGCAAGGTTCTTTCCGAACAAATTCAATCAGTCCGGAAATGCACAAATTAAACTAGCCTCTCATGGAAAGACGCGGAGCCATTGGCAGTCAAGTCTGACCACGAGACGCTAAGTGTACATCGCACGTGTGGCGCTGAGCCAGGTTTGGCGAAGATGGACAGCTGGAGCTGCATGAAGGCTTGGGGTGAGATTCTGTACAATAAGCTCTATCGAGCAGCTCCTGTTTGCAGAGCTTCAATGACCTGTGGCGAGTCGACAAAGTAACAATATTCAACAAAAAAACTTTGAATATCATGGAATAGCATATTTCAGTCTATGCTACTCCAAAACACTGTGCTTGCCGTTTTACGGGCAATGAATCACCCGTTAGGCACAAGAACGTGTTCCTTTCAATACCTTGCAAGAGCCGCAAAAGAGTGGGCAGCGCAGCTCGCCTCTGCGTGGGAATCACGCCTGTTCATCCATTTAGCAAGCCCCAGTGGGCTTTGCCTTGGCTAAAGCTTCTTGCTTAACTCACTGGGCACTCTTTGAAAACATGTTGGGCATCAGAAATGCGCTCAAGCACCCAAAAGTATTTGACTTTGCAGGATCGGCTCCCATCCACAAAAGCAACCTGAAGAAAGGAAGCTCTACAAACAGTGGTGCACTGCTGCACCTTGCAAACACCACACACAGCTCCCCTCATTGCCTCACCATCGCTGGATCGTTGCATTGCACTGCTCGGTGCAGAGGATAGGTGGCCACCTCGACAGTGCAACACCGATTTACTCGTTGTTGCTAAAAGCCCTCTGTATGCTGTATGCTACGAGTACTCTATGGCGTAAGCTACCTTCCAGAATCTCGGAATCAGAATCTGCGCTTCTTCATGCTTCTTCTACGGAGATTTACAGAGTTTCAAGCCAAACGGGGTTCAGCAGAATTCCTCCCTCGTGAAAGAACAATATTTGATGATGATGAAAAAGCAGAAAAAGCTTTGGGCAGCTCAGCTTGCCACAGGACACCACTTGTGTGCTGCACGCACATGTCGGTAGCCTGCAATAGCATGGGATCTCAAACCATCGGACAACTGCTCCAGATGACAAATGACAGGAGACGATTTAGGATTGAAACCACAACCAAACCCAGCAAATCCCAGCACCGCCACCTTCTGCTGCTAAAAAATGCTTTGGCCTTTTCACGGCTCTCTCGTTCCTTTTTTGCCTCATGGTGCCAGATATCATGGCGAGGGTTTTCTTGCTGTGCTCTTGCTCTTCTGTTCTTGTGTTCTTGCTCTTGCCAAACCCTCACTACCTCTGCGGCAGACTCGCGGGCTTTCATCTCCATTTCCTGGCTTTTGAGCCATTCAAGCTGCTTCATGCGTCTTTTGCGATACTCAGATAGTTTGGCATTCAGCGGGTCAGGAATGGCATCCGGCCGGTTTGGCTACATTCCAGCTCGGCCTGGAGTTGCCTCCGCTTTTCAGCTTGTCGGCGCTGCTCCTATCGGGCATAGCTTTCAAGCAAGGTCGTTTCTTCAACCCATAGCTCTCAACCCAATCCGCCCAATCCCAATCGCAAAATGGATCAAACTGGACTCAACCAACGCAACTAGCTAGTGTGACTTCTGTTTCACCTACAGTACTTAATTCACTGGCAGGACAAACAACATAGAAACTTATAGAACCCGAAGGACTGCAAATACTTGTCACCCTCCTTAGCTTCTTGTTACTAGTAGCGATGCCTAGTAGCGTCCTTGCTCCTAGTAGTAAGGCAATGTAAGGCCAGGAGCCCCTAGTAGTTTTTTGTTATTACGTTTGAACTTCGCGTGGACAAAATGGCAATGCACTGCTGCCAAGTCCTCAGTTCTTTGAGCTGCTAGCCTTGCCTCCTCTTCAGCACGCCTGCATTGCGCAGCACGTCTTCAGGTCAAGAATATGAATGCAAAAACCCTCATTGGACAAACCTGTATAATTAAGACCTGAGAAAGGAGAGGGCGAAAGCCAGCGAGAGACCAATATGGTAGTGCAAGCCTGGGAGGAAAAAATAGCGGTGCACTTATTGTTGAATGCCCGTAGCTTTCGTGGAGCTTGTATCAACGTGGAGTAGATCAAGATCGGAGCACAGCATGAAGTGTTGAATGTTTTAGGTTTTCTCGATTTTCCTGGTGCGGTGCTCTCTGGAGCGTCCCTGTTTGGCGGTCTACTTGAGAATCCATGTAAAAATAAGCGTCAGTGAAGACCAGGAGAAGGATGCCCGAAAGGTGGTTTTTGGTTGTCTTGAAATGTGTTTCGGGCATCGTGCATCAATGCGAAGCCCTATAAAGAGCAGGGTTGGGAGAAAAAATGAGGAGAGCACTCATTCTTGAATGGTTGTAGTTTTCGTGGAGCTGGTATCACTGCGACGTAGATGAAGATCGGGGCACAGCATGAAGTGTTGAATGTTTTTTAGTATTCTTGATTTGCTTGGTGCGGCGCCTCCTGGAGCGTTTGTTGTTGGTGTTCTATTTGAGAATCCGTGCAAAAACAAACGTCAGTGAACACCAGGAGAATGATGCCCGAAGTGGTTCTTGTTGCTTTGTTGAATTGTGTTTCGGGCATCGCGCATCAATGCAAAGCCCTATAGAGAGAGCAGGGCTGGGAGGAAAAAATAGCAGAGCATGTATATATAGTTGAAAGCTTGTAGTTTCGTGGAGCTGGTATCACTGCGCCAGGTCAAGATCGGAGCACAGCATGAAGTGTTGAACGCTTGCAGCTTTCTTGCTTCTCCTCCTGCGGCGCTCTTATCCCCAAGCCTCCACCTCGCCCAACTGGACATGCTCACATCGTTCGCCCCCAGAGCGTTCACTCTTTGTTTCTTGGTATGATCAGAGCTGCACAGTCCCTCTGCCCTGCTCAGGACTAGAAAAATTGTCTCCAGACCCCTTCATGATCTTCATGATGCTAATGATGCACAACTCGGCGTCCATTGCATCACTCGCATCACCAGACCCCATTTTCACTGGTTTTCTGACCCTCGCTTTGGAGCGCTCTCCCCCACCAAGCTCCGGGTTCACCCTCTCAAAAGGTGCCTTTTCGCGCCCTCCCCCCCCACACCCCCTTAACTCACTTCGTTCGCTCTAAGAGCTCAAGCCTAGCCTATCGGCTGGATTTCGTAATATAATATACATCTTTTTTGGAACCTGTGGCTGTACGTTCCCTTCTGGTGTGGGTCGTGAACTGAGGAGGACCCTGGACCCCAATTTGGTACATCACCGCGTGCCGCGGCTAGCTCTTGCAACAAACTTAAACACCCTCACCACATGAAAAGAACGTGAGGGCCCCTTTAATAATGGCCCCTTTGAATTATCCCTACAGGGGCCCTTACCTTCTTTTTCGAGTCATTGTTGTTTCTTAGTTGTGTTTCTTCAGCATCAACTCATTTGCCTCAAAATCTTTTCAGCTTGATGTGTGCTCGAGGTCTCTGAATCGCTGTTGGAACGGGACAAAAATGACAAAGATTGACAAAGTATAATTGGAATTAGACTTGGGAAGACGTGTTAATGGACTTGTTATTCCGAAGTCTAATTTTTTTCGTTTCAATTGACAGGGATTGATTTTGCTGCACCTTCTCGCAGCTTCAAGCTCTTCCTCTAGCCGCTTCTCTTCATCAAGGCGAGCTGCCATCTCAGCTTCCTGGCACCGAACCGTAAGAAGGCCAAGGCCGCTAATGACCCGACACTTCATCAAACACATCGTTCGTGAGCGGACCCTTGTCAGTCTTGATTTGCCCGTCCGTGATGCACCTCGATCTTCCGTCGACGCTCATCTTCAACACGTTGCTTTTCAGCTTCGATCTCTTGCTCCAATTTTCGACGTCCCTGCCGTTGAGGCCAACTCCAAAACTGGTTGTGCAGTGTTGGTTAGTGAGTGTCAGTGATTTTGTGAGGCACTCAGGAAACTTGCACACAGTCTTGTGAACCAGGGGCTTGCTCACGATACCTGCACTGCACATACCGCAGGCAGAAAGCCCATAATTACACCAGAAAGGTCCCACTCAAATGCAGAAATGGTATGCAAGCAGGGTAAAGATTGAATGCAAACCAACAAACCCATACAAACCCTAAAACACTAGGGAACCGATTCGACTGTGCGACCGGCTCATCTGCGGCCTTGCTAGTCGTTGCTTCCTGCTACTTAGTAGTTTACTGCTTGCTCCTACCTTTCCGAGTCTTTCCTACTGCCCTCCTACGGCCTAAAGCTCCTAACCCCCACCTAATACGACGAATATGAATGCCTTGTGCTTTCCATTGCCTTCCGTCCGTACATTTCTTGCTGCCTGGGCTTCTACTTCGGCACGCCGCCGCTCAGCCATCAAGGCGTCTTCAAGCAAACGTCGAGCCTTGCTACGGAGCGAAACCAAGAGAAACCAGGACTTCCATCTTCCAATATCTTTGAGCAAGAGTTCCAGAGTTCCACTCATCCTGAAAAACCAGGATCTACTTCCCCAAACTCAGCAACAAAAAGGCAGAATGTTCAGAAATGCCTCCACTTCTCGGGAGATTAGATCTCGATGAGCACGCAGTTCCTCCTCTATAGACCTTTGAAGTGAATCCAAAAGTTGAAAAAAAAAAACAACGGCATCTCCTCAATCGAAGAATCAGAACTTGGGACGAAACTGTAGGTGTGAATTGGCAATCGCCAAGGCTCCAGTCTCAGCATGCAGAATTGTCTGGTACGTATTGCTGAGCTCTACAGGCAGATGCTGGAAATTGCCGGACAGACCCTAAAGTGTCCTAAAATTTGCATCAACTGCAAGGGGAGCATGGGTTTTCATGGGTTTGGGCTGGCCTCCTCATTCAAATCCACTTCGTCTGGCTCTTCCACAGCCAGGGCGTCATCAACAACTATGTCGCCGGCATGCTCCTGCGGATCATGGAAGCCACTGTAGCGATGTTGTACGTACGACATGACTCAAGTCGATTGTAAAAGTATGACAAGTATGAAGAACTATGTCAATTCAATTGGTTGGGTGAATAACTCCTTGGGAGCATCCAAACTGCTGAAGCCCAGCATTCGGTCAAACTCCTCCATGGCAAAATACATCTCATTCCAGCAAACAATTATGCAGTTTGTCTATCTGCGATCCACAGCAGGTAACATTCTGCAGTGCAATTCGCCAATCAAACAGGGCGAAAACAACTCACTGCTTCGTACTTCGTACTACGGCTTTGTAAGCAATATTTTTGTGGATTCGCTGAATGTAGAGAAAAGGTGCAAAAATATCACAAAGGAGCTGTGCAACAAAGGAGTAGAATACAGCCTTCATACATGTTGGCCACGGCCCAGACAAAATGGGTCCCATGTCGGAGAGCACTCTTCTTCAATTTTGAGATTGGTTTGAATTTATGTAAGAGATGCCTTGCCATTCAGTGTTTTTGCTACACAATCCTGTGGTCGGCAAATAGACTCAAATGGCAAGTGTAATTATCGAATATCCTTCCTTGAGCTTTAATGACATTGACTTTGCTGTCATCACAAGATCAATAGCGCCGGTCAACATGACGTCAGGTAAGCTTCGACTTTCTCACAAAATTTCAAACGTTGAATTGGTCGACTTGTGTTTAGAAGCCGATGCAAAATAAATCAAAATAACCTCAATTGCTGTCTTCACAATCAAGAATGCTCATCCTTTGCTTGAAATGGATGGATTGTTGCACAGGGATGTGTCCCTTTCGGACCTGATCGGACAAAAATTGAACCGAGGAGTTGTTGTGGATAAGTAACGAAATTCCCGGGTGTGCGTGGACGACCCGTCGTGGCTTCAGGATTGGAAACTGCCACCACCTTCATCAGGCAGATAAACCCCCCATTCTGTCATGTGAATCGATCTTGGAAAGTCAGCGGTGTGCCGGAACCACATCACTCTGCAGAAATAGTAATTAGCTTTGAACAGGTGGTTCGTAACATTTGTGCTGGGAGATGAGATGATTCCGATTCATAATCGTTCGCTTTCAAAGCTGGAGGCATGTTTTTGAAAATCAGCATTCTTGCATCCTGTGCAACATTTGAGGCTTTAGGATACTTTAGGTACGTCTTTTACTGACGTATCGACTCGTGATGAAGCATCTCACTAAGTTGCAAAGCAGAAAAAGTGGCTGTGCATGTGGACATTAAGGCGCACAAAGAATTGTCCATGGGTATACACCCTGTGGACATGCAAAGGCCCACGAGTCTGTTCTAGGCATGAAAAACTGTGCATTGGCGGTAAATTAATTAAAGCATTTCAGCATGTTGTTCCTAAAGGACTGCTACCCACACACTTGCAGATCCTAAGCCGCATGGAGTGATGTGCGGAAACTGTGTAGCCTTTGCTTGAGAGCCTCTACCATGTCATGTCGTCCACACGGGCCAGGTTGAATGTTCGTCAGGGTTCACCGACAAGTTCAGTCTCATATCGTGGCCAAGCCGTCATTTGAGGAAGACTATGGATGACCTATGGTCATTTGACGTTACAAGTAGACCTGCTTAGACTAGAAGTCTGCAGATGCATAGAACAGTACTCCATTCAGTCCAGACCGTCCATCGACCCGCTGTGGTTCCAAGTGCATTTTATATATATATATATTGTTTTTTATCGGTAATTATATAGGCCCAAAAGAAGGGGTGCGCCGGGACCTGAACTTGAGCATACAAAATCTAGCGCACGGCCCCACCGTCAGAAGTCTGATGCTTCTTGCTGCGTTTTTTGCTCTTCCTTTTGACTGAGCTCTTGCAACGTTGACTGCGCTGTTGCATCGGTATTCAACTTGGCTTTCCGCAAACACCTTTGTGGAAACCCACGATTATCTTTCTCCACGTTCATATTGAGCGAGCATGTGTGCGTGTTGGACCCCAAGGGTTTGTCTGTATGTGTGAGTCAACATTCATCGCCTCTTTCTTACCAGCTGCTCTACCACCAGGAAAGCCTGAGTATCGGCACGATCAACATTATGCTTTTGGACGATTCAGCATGAACCTTGCCCAGTCGCAGCAAGGACACTGCAATTGATTGGGGGCAATTGACTGGGTCTAGCTGGCAAAAGGTGAGACATCCAGATAGCCGAGTGCCCATTATTTTCTGCTTTGATTTCATCTGGCTGCCCTTACAAATTTAGAGCCAAGACGCCCACCATGGTACAACCATGCTGTCCGTGCATATTGCTTTTTGGTCAACTGCTGCTGGTTCTGAGTCTCTATATTGATGTACTTGCTTGGACCTGCTCTTGTTTTCCTAGGTTCCTTCACATGCTTCAGTGTGTACAGTGTACTTTGTTCAGCAAGTAGCGCCATCAACCTTCCACCTATTTCCACTTAGCACCCACTTGTACCCCTGAAACATAGGGTACATGCGACCGTGCATTTTAGTCGCCACAAGGAAATCACATGACAGCTATGTGTTGTCGAAGAGACGAAACAGTGTTTCTTGAATACAGTTCAATATATGAGTATGTAAAGTGGTACACAAACCGAGCGTACAAGGCAACATTGAAGCGAGACCAAGTTGATGTCAATCCTGCACCCTGCCCAAGTCTGGCATGGTCCGCGAGCGGGCATCAGACGCACGGGAGGTAGACTGTTCCTCGATTCTTGGATATTCCAAACTCACGAAATCAAATTCATCACAAGCGATGCTGAGTACATGACAACAACATCGCTCTCTGTGACGAGCACAGCTTCATCCACAACGTCCTGCCAAATCAATATAAATCTATGGTCCATGGTTCATGAGTGGGCAAGTGTTGCGTGATAAGAGTTGGGAAGGATTCTCCTCCAAGAGCAATTTACATAAATGACATTACGGAATGTTAAGGATTTCTCTTGAGGGAACCAGTGTTAGCACGCGCAGAACGTACAGTACGCGCCCACAAACTGAGGACATTTTATCAACTCAAACCTTGGCTCATGGTAGGAGTCATCATGCAGGGTAATGCTGGATCTTGACTAGTCGTCGGCGGCCCCCGCCACTATAGAACAACTGAGGGAGAGTGAATAGAGTCAAGCCCATCAAAACTGTTTGGGATTCAGCAACAGCAGCAGCAGCAGCAGGAGGAGTAGTAGTAGTTGTAGTAGTAGTAGTTGTTGTTGTTGTTGTTGTAGTAGTTGTAGTAGTAGTAGTAGTACTAGTACTAGTACTAGTACTAGGGGCAAGTTTTTTGGGGGCCAAGTTTATTTCTGAAGATCCATCAGTAGCGGTTGTAGTTCCTTCTCACGGTGTTCTCAGTGATTGAATGGCATGTGGCCCTCAAAGCAGCGGCATGCACAGCACTTCATTCAAATACAATCAATGAGCAAACCGCATCAAAAGAATCATCTGCGGCGAAAGAAAGCTGTGTTATTCCCACCCCCCAAACTATTCAGGTGTGACAAAATAAGTTTGTTTGGGATCGAACATTTTTTGCAGCGACGGATGAATGTTTCTTTGGTGCTGACTTCAGATCAGATGCGCACATCGGTTGATGGCAAAGCAGAGTTGACTGCGTAGCTAAAAGTAATGAGCTTGAATATCTTAAATTAAGCAAAAACAAAATGCAAGCACCCTTGGCAGCGCGCATGTAGTTACCAGTAGCCACAAACTTGAAACTGGTGACAACATTGCTGCCGCATTCCAGTTGCAGCACAGCTTACTGCATCCGAAGAATTACTCGAATTACTCCAACCTTGAGCATATCGAACAGTTCCGCGGAATTGATTTCGACAAGGACGCTGAGCACGTCCCAAGCGTGCGCTGGCAGCGCTGGCAGCTCACGTGCACGTGCGCAGCCATGGACAAATCATGACAAATCAATCAACAGGGCGACGGATGCCAAATGAGGCCAACATGATTCCTGATCGGCAGGCCTGGTCACCTAGTCCGTTTCGAACCAAGAAAGTTGTATGAATTAGTAAGTTTCTTAAGCTCAAAAAATGTTGATGGGATGCAGACAGTGCTGCAAGGTTTAGGCTGTAAATCGTGCGCGTGATGTAAGTTGTCTTTGGTGCATAGTTGCATTACCTGGAAAATATTGAAAACTGAATGCCTCACAAATCCCAACAAGGGCAATTGTAACTCGGCAGGGCTCCACAGGAATCACTAGAAATCACCTCAAGCATCCTCAAGCAATCTAAATCATATTTAAAACACATAAAATTATTGTTCGATTTTAGGATATTTGTTTATTAAATCTTTCCATAATTTAAGTATTTCCATGATGTTTTAATCTTTCTAGACTTAAATGTGTCCACAAACTTGCACGAATAAGCACACAATTTAGTTCATTCAGCTCACGACTGAGTAACACCAATTTGCTGAGCCCTCATAGTGACTCATGGTTCTTCTTTGTCTTCCTGGCTGTTGCCCAAGCCTCCGCTGGTCCGTCGTCCATGTCGACAGCTTCGACCGGCAAACCTTCTGATTGCACCTGGTCAAAGCATAGTGTCAAAGACTTGGACGCATTGCACGTG